GGTGAGAGACCAGGGGAAGCAGAGGACCAAGCTGCAGAATGGCCGGGGGTCACCTGTGTGGCTCACCTGTGTGCTTTTGGCCGCTGCTTCCCCTCTCCTCCTCCTCCTCCTCCTCCTCCTCTCCGGTGTTTGTTTCATTTGGGTTTTGTCTTTGGGAATAATGAAATTTATAACAACAATTGAACTGTACCATCCTTGAAAAATAAAACACGGTCCTGATTGCTTTGTAAGAGGGTTCCATAAAGACTACCCTTTCAGACTCCAAAGGAATGGCGTCTGCTGTAAACCTGGTCTTTGGTTTTTCACTCTTCCTGCGTCCTGGCTATTGAAACTCCTGGGAGCAGCTGTTTACTAGCAGTGCTTTGGCTTAGACGCGCGATCTTGAGGAACCCGGGTGGTGAAGTGGGTGACTGGTTGGGGGCTGCTAAGCACAGGGAGCACTTGGAACCCACCAGCTGCCCTGAGGGAGAAAGACGAGGCTTTCTGCCCCCACAAAGAGGTCACAGGCTCAGAAACCCACAGGCCAGTTCCACCCTGTGCTATAGAGTTGCGCTGAGTCAAAATCTCCTCGCAGTGAAGTGGTGTATGTTTGTTTGTTTGTAAGAATTGAAAGAGTCTCTCACTCACTCTCTCATTCACTCACTCACTCACTCACTCTCACTCACTCTCATTCACTGACTCACTCTCACTCACTGACTCATTCACTCACTCACTCACTCACTCTCACTCACGGAAAGAAAAATTAAAAAAAAAAAACTAAAAAAAAAAAAAGAATTGAAGGAGTTCTAGTCGTACAATGGTTAAGCACTTAAGCTGCTAAGCTAAAGGTTAAGGTTCAGATCCTCCTGCTGCTAGGACTGAGAAAGGCTTGACAGTCTGCCTCCATAAATACTTACAGCCTTAGAAACCCCTGTGGGGCAGTTACTCAAAATCCAAAACCAAACTTGCTGCCATTGAGTCAGTTTCTGCAACTGTTGACTTTGTATGGGAGCGGAAAGCCCCTCTTGCTCCCGAGGAGTGACTGGTGGTTTCAAACTGCTGACCTTGCGGTTTGCAGCCCGACATGTACCCACTCCGCCACCAGGGCTCCCTTAGCTAAGGTGACTAAGGAGTTGGGATTGAGTTAATGTCGAGTGGGCTCAAGAACTGTATGGCCACCGTGAGTGGGTCAATGTGGGGTATTTAAGAAACAATGCCTTGATGGCAATGTCTCTCTAAACGCTCCAGGAACCTGCTGCCTGTGTGTGGCTGTAGTTCTGTACGTTGAGAAGCCAGGGCTGTGATGTGACAAGCGGTAAGGGTTAGCTGACTCCCTGGGCGTTTGTTTGTTTGTTTGTTTGTTTGTTTGTTTGTTTGTTTGTTTGTTTGTTTAAGCCAGCAAACATGGTAAAACGAAAGCCTTCTGGTCTCACTCTGTTGCTAATCTGTGGGCTGCTGCAGGCATCCCAGCCACACTCTTCCATGTGTCTTAGCTGTGCATTACCTGTGAGACCCAAGTGTGGTGACATTTGTGAAGAATGCCTTTGTAAACTGTACATTGCTGTGTGAGTATAGGGTACTTACTATCTGATGAACTATCAGTTCGCAGCCGTCAGCCACCAGGGTTCTCTCGGTCTCTGGAAGAAGCACCGACTCATGTCGATTGTTCCCGTTAGTGATGTCAATGCTGAACTTCTTTTCATCCATCCATCCATCCATCTCTCCCTCCCTCCCCACTTTAATGATAGGATTAAGCAGTGAGAGTCTGAACGGGAAGTTTAACTGTTAGAGATCATCAACACCTTAAGAACCCTTGAGGCCTGGCTACGAGTGAACCCCAGCAGATGGCAGATTCCAAATTCTCCAGCCCACGGCCTTCTCACAGGCTGGCAGTCACAAAATGGAATCATGGACAATAGCTAAAAGGGGAAAAGAAAGTGGTTGGCTTCAGTGGCCCTCAAGCTTGGATCTGTGACTCTGCAGGCAGCCTCCCTGAGGTGTGGGGAGTTAGAGTTTTTTTGCAACTTTATGTTAAGACCCTTTGACGTCTACTTAGGAAGTGAGGGCTCAGGAAGATTTATCTGGCAGATTTTGATCTAGCAAATCTAACCGGTTGGAGCTGAGAAGGGCGGTGTTGTTGGTTTTTCTTTCAATATGAGAAGCTTCATTAGGAGGCAGGCTCCTGGCCTTCTTGGTAACTTGGCTTTTAGCAGCTTAATAAATAGTCGGCAATCAAAGGATGAATCAAAGTGCAAATCCATGAAAATGGTAAACGGCTAAAAGTGATCATGTCACCGTAGGCATGTATCACTCTTTACTCCCACAGGTCACTTCTCTAGGAGCCGATGGCTGCTCCGGGGAGCCGATCAGAGCCCACGGTGACGGCCGTTGGGGTGGGCCTGTGATAGCTGCCCCGGAGTGTGCTCTGAAGGATTTTCCTGCGGTTTTTCTTACCAAAACACTGGCTGTACTTCAGCAGTGATGTTAAGCCATTTCCTCGTCCTCAGCCGTGTTGTCTGGCAAGCTTGTGTTTGGCCACGTGCGGCTGACAAGAAGAGACCCATCTGCATTGTGGTGGGCCTCTGGGGAATAAAGTCATTGGTGTAGCCTATTTGCTCAAGAGCATCTTCTCAAAGCTAACATGCCGATGGGATGACAGGCAGGGGACGTTCCCTACCCTCCATGGAGGGTTTTGCGCAGCTCCAGGGACAGCGCATCTGTTACCTGAGAAGTCTAAAGTGCTCCTTGCCTTAGAAATCCCAGAGTCTCCTGCTGCCTCCATGTGGCGAAATTAGAATTTACAGTTCTCCACAGTCCACAGACAAGGCTTATTCTGGTGGCACCGCCCAAAAGGATGGGTGCTCAGCTGTGCGCTGGGCCAGCAGTGCTCACCCCAGGGCCCCTGTGTAGTCCTAAGCACGCTGGGCCTTCAGGGGTCCTCGGAGCTATGCAGGCTCTCGTTCACTCGCAAGTGATTATGAAGTTCCTTCTTTGTACCAGGTGCTGCACTTGAAGTTGGTAACGTAGCAAGATTTAGCCTGGGTGCTAAGATCTAGCCCAACAACTAGACAGTTTACACTAAGCGCTACCATAAAGACACAAGTTCTGACTTGCCGTGACCATTCCCTGTAAAATCGTCATCTTTTAGTAGATTGAAACGGGTTGTGAAATACTTCCGCCTGACCAGCAAGCGAAGAGAAATGAGTGAGAATTTGATCCTGTCTAGTCCTCCCAAGCATTCATGACTCAGTAATTCGTGGTTCTGAGTGAGCCCTCACTATGTGCTGTCAAAACTCCATTCATCTCTTGAGTCCTTACAAGTACCCTATGAATTAGACACGATTGTCCCAAATTCACAGATGAGGAAACTGAAGCCAGAGAAATGTCAGGCTTACTGAAGGTTATGGAGTTGAAGGGATGCAAATTTAAGGACTTGGGTCCAGAGTGTGCTCTGAAATGATGTATTGTCTCCAGGTGACAGGGACATCTTGGCCCCCCTGCTGTGTGGGAGGAGTGGCCCTCAGCGCAGTGGCCCGCCTCTGATCCTCCCTGCCTGCAGAATTTCTCCCTTTCCTAGCTTGGATACTGAGGGCAGAATCCAGAACACTGAGCAAGAGGCGGTGGGTGTAGTGGGGAGGCCGTTTCTAAGCTCCAGACGTGACTCCAGCCTGACCTTCCGCAGCTAGGTGAGCCTGCCTCTTTGATCTTGTCACTCTTGTAGAGTAGAAATAGTGTTCCTTCATGGAATCATCTCGGAAATTAAGTAAGATGATATCCTTGGCCGTTTCTGGCACTGAGTAAGCACTTATTAAAAATGCTCATACAGTTTTGTTATTTTCCTCTGAACTCTAGAACAGGCCCCCAAACTAGGACCCAAGTAAAGCAGGCAATTTTCTTTTGGTTTCGACAAGACAATAATTTTATTCTGTGTATCTCTCTTGACTCTTTTGGTGTGCAAAGCAGAGAGGTAAAGCATTAATTGGCAGATGTGTGGATTCGAGCAAGAAACTGAGGTCCAATTGCAAAGCAATGGCTTGTCTGACTCAGAGCCCTGTCTGAGGAGACTCCGAGGAGGACCCTAGAGGGCGGAGAGAGAACACAGCCTGGGGCTAGCTCCAGAGTCACAGCCTCGGTTAGTTCACTTACACGGGTGGGTGCGGGCCCTCCTCCGCTCCAACAGGTCTCTGCTGCCTAGCATTAGTCAGACTTAGTTTCTTCGTGGGAAATAGAATCTCGACTTGCCCCAAGTGAAAAGGCAAGGGAGTTCTGTACTTCCAGGTGTGCCAAGCACATTTGCTCACCTGTTCTGTGGCAGTTCTCCTCTAAGGGTTTCAGTGGTCACAGGTTGCTTCTTAGGTCTCAGGGCCAGCTCGCTCTGCAGGCTCCAAGCCAGAGTGATGCTGCTGCCACCACCTCCACTGACTGCCTTTTACAGCTTCCCGTTAGAAGACTGTGACCTGCGCTGAGGCCTCCCCTTTCTCCTCTCTTCAGTACTGTACTACTTCTTTGGGTGTTTGTGCTGTACAGCCATGTTTCAAAGAAAATGTTCAGATACCAAAGTGCAGCCCTTCCTACCACCCCATGGAGATGTGAGTCCGCTGTGGCAAAGAAGATGCCTGTAAGGGAGGGTGCCTGCCCCTCCGTGCTGCCAAAGGAAGAGCGCCGCTTCCCGAGGTGCCCACACCCAAGCCGCCCGGCCTTTCTGTGACTTGCTGGCAAGCGTGTACGACAGAAGTAGACTGGACCTCGCCAGCTCAAGGACCCAGCCCCCAGACCGCAGGAGCCAAAGCTGAAGACTCATCCACTTCTCCCCTTGTCCCCGCTTCAGCCGAAGCCCGCTGTGCCATGCCGCCTGAGCCTGTGGCTGTAAATAGCCATTTACTTCCTTTGTCAGTGAAGAAAAAGGCTCCCTCTTTTTGTAAAAGGTTTCATCTTGGGGATTGGAGAGGCTCTCTGTGCCTTCCAGTCTCCCTCCATCTGCCCGGGGGTGATGTTGATGGTTTCTGTCTTTGTCTTCACAGGGAACTCTAATCATCCATGACCAAGAGGTCACCCTTGAGTACATACCAAGCCCAGATTTTTGGTACTGCAAACGGGTAAGTGCCAAGAATTCATTTCCTTAGAAATAGCGATCCAGCCCTCTGTTCCCTCCACACCTCCAGGATTGCTGCCTGGTAGTGTGCATTGTCCAGGGCAAAGCTCTTCCTCCTCGGTTCGCTTCAGCTGAACTGCAGTTCCAGGCAATGTAGTAACTCTTTGTTTCCTGTGGCCATGGAGGGGGAGACGCTTGACAGAGACGTGTGCTTTCTTTGGGTTCTCATCTGAAAATACACGTTTCTTGACACCTGACCTCTTCCTGTCACTCTTCCTGGAAGTAGTCATAGGAGATACGGAGTGTTTGGAAGCGTGGATTTGAGGAAATGGGAAATATATACTTTTTGGATAGGGAACCCCAAGGGTACCCATGGTATTTTACTTTGAAACTTTCATATTCTATTAAAATGGCGTGTTTAAAGATCTTAGGCTATCTGATAGGTTCCCAAACTTATTTGACCTACCATCCCAGAATAAATTGCTCAGGACTCTCCTGACAGTGTAAAACCTTTGTACTATAGCCCTTATCCAGGATAAAGTGTAGGAATCTGCTTTTGCTGCACCCCCCCCCAGGGGGCAGTTTCACCCACCTCGGGCATCGCTGGCCGTCCACTTATTAGAGGTCAGTTTTAATTTCACTGCTACTGCCTAGTTTCAAAGGTAATTATGAAAAACTTACAAAGTTGCTAAGCCATGATTCATTTAAAATGCTGTCTTACCTAACAAAGTTCAGTTAAAATTTTAACTTGACATTTTATTACTCTTAATGATATATAACTTTGATAGCATGGTTTTCATAGAGCCAACGCTTCCATATCTTGTGGGTATCGCTTTACAAGGTGGTAAATGGCTAAACACTCTCAACTACTAGTTAGAAGCTTTATTGGACAATTCATATACCATACAATTCAGTGGTTTGAATATATTATTAAAGAGTTGTACAATTGTGCTTAACACAATGGATGGATGGATGAATTGTGATAAGAGTTGTACGAGCCCCCAATAAAATTATTTACAAAAAGGAGTTGTAAAAAATCACAATTTTAGAACATTTTCTTCATTTTGTACTTACTGTTATTAGCTCCACCTTCCACCCCCGCTCCCCCAACCTCCCCTAATCCTCAGAAACTATTAATTCAGCTAGTATGAGGTTTTTATTTTGTTTTGTCTTGTGTTTAATGCTTTGGCGTCGTGCCCCACATTTCCCCTCATTCTCTCTGTCGGGTTGCTGTGAGTCAGAGCTGAGCAATGGCTGTGAGCGTCCGGGACCTTCTTATGTGCACCCTCTCAGAGCCGTGGGCTGACGGGTGCGTGGTCCGTGACCCATACGGACTCGTCCTTGGCCCGTATGGCCTTCAACCTTTTTTCTCTCGGAATGGGGAGAAGGTGGAAGACACTCATGAGTTTTGAAGATCCTAGTCAGTATTCACCAAGTAGTATGTAGAATGTGTCCTTTGTGGGCTGTTGTGTCAGTTGGCCTTGTTGTCTCCTGAGGAGGCAAAATCATCAAGATTTACCCTTACTTTTTTGAACTCGCAAGTTAGTTTTTGTATATCCCTCTTCTGCTTATGACAGACCAGTTGTCTGCACCATTTTTTGAACGATCATGTGATCTTGATACTCATTGAGAATCAGTTAAGCACGATGGGAAGAGTTTTTCCTAGACTCTCGCTGACTTCTAGAGCTACCATTACTCTAGGACTACTCTTGATTTGTTACTCTAGCTCCTTAGTAAGTCTGAAACTGGAAAATGAGTCCTCCCAAATTTTTCAAGATTGTTTTGATTCTTCAAGATGCCTTGCAATTCCATATGACTTTTAGCCTCTGCTTTCTCATTTCTCCAAAGCGAGCCGCTGGGATTTTGATGATAATTAATATTTTCTTGGTCACTGTCTCTGTCATAGGTTGACGAGTGACCCCCCACCCCCATTATATTTTCCATATTAACTATAGTGTGTAAGTATCACTTCTCTTACATAATGAAGAGCTTGGGTTACTGTTAAAGGGAGAAAATGTGAACTCTTTGCTATTAGTAGGGAGAAGGCAGGCATTGACATTTGGTAACAGAATTGTACAACTATAGCCAAGGCTGCTGCTTTGTACGTCTGAGCTTGTAGAGCTGCCGTCCTGCACAGACAGCCTCCAATGCATTTGATTGCGGGGGTCATAGAGTTAAACAAAAAGAAATGTTCACGTTATAAAGTCTCTCGTTCTGGATGAATGTTTCTGCAAAATAGCTGCCAGGAGCACTGGTTTTCTGTGTCTATTTCTTCTTCCTTGTGCCTGGTTATCAGCTTTTGAGAAAAGAGCTGATCATTGAATTCTTCTTATTTCCAGCCACTCTCAGTGGGTCTCTCATCACCCGCTCAGAAACTCAGTTTTGGGTGCGGAATAATAAAGATTTAGAGGTAGTTTGTTTTATTTTCTGTGAACATTCTTGTTCAGGAACGCTTCATGTCCTCCTAGAAGGCTGCTCTTAGCAGCCTGTGGGATCCAGTCTGCCAGCTCGGATGGAGAGATCAAAGATCCTGTAGGTCTTGAGGTGTTTTGGCATATGGCTTGTTTCTTTCAGTCTGGGCAAGTGTTTACTGAATTGGATATATGAAGGCGGTTCAGAAAGATCCATGATCTTTTACTTGCACTTTGGGGTGAACTTATTTGATGCTCCCCTTATATGTAAAGTTCTTGAAGTACTTTGGTTGGAGTAAATGCATTCCGTTTTCCCTTGCAGCATAAAGGCAACACTAGTGGACACAGGTCTTCATGCTCATTCTGCAAAGGCCCACGGGAAGGTGAGTGCTGACCACAGTTGGTGTTTTTTTTGCATTGGATGCGGCAAATTCTGCTTTCCTTGGCTTGAAAACTTGTTATCTGTAAACACCAAGTTTATCTGAAAGCCTTTTAAAACGTGACGTGCAGCCTCATGGGAGCTGTCCATGTGAACCATCGTGGGTCTCAGGAGTCCCATTGGGAGGAAACAGTGGGCGGCAGATTGGCCTGAGGTCTTTGGAACAGATACTGAGGGAACAGAGTGCTAGGCTGGGAAAGAGTCCACATAACATCAACCCAAATCTGCCACGCCTCCTGAAGACCCCCATAGTGCTGTGCAGTTGTAGACTCATTTTCTGTAATGTTGCTTATCTGCATCCCTTCTGGGTATTGCAGGAGGCTTCATGAGGGAAACTGCAGAGTAAATCAAAAAGTGTTGCTGCCAGTGTTTAAAAAGCTCAAGTTTATTCTTAACAACAGTGTGTTCACACCTGGCTATGTGATCCGAGGATGGTCCTCTCAGTGATAAATTTGTCTTAGCCTCCACAGGGTGCTTTCCAAACAGGGCCCAGTCAAAGCAGTGCCTTCTGAGGGGATCTGCTAGGGCAGTTCCGTTCACGGTAGAGAGTTGGATTGAGCAAGTTGTGGCACCTGTTTGTTGGAATTCCAAAGGGGTGATCTTGACAGGATGCTGGACTTTGATGGGAGCTTGTGAAGTTTTAAGAAAATAGAAAATTGCACTAGTGAGAAAAAGACCAGGAAAGTTACACGGAGGAGTGCACCTCCTGCTTCCTGCTCGTTCTTGGAGGCCAGCAATAGCTGAGGACGAGAATTTGACCGGAAAACCACACCCTTTCCTCCCTCCTCCCTCCCTGACTTTGCGCTTTCAGTCAGAGAAATACTTAAGAGAAATATGGTTTGAGCCCCTCAAGGATGTCAAAGTTCTGTTGCCATGGTGTAAGTAAAAGTGCAGACTGGGGGTGAAGAGAGCTGGGAATGCTGCCTTCAGAAGGCTCTGCCCCTCGGCGGGGTGCATGTTGACAAACAGGAGCTCTGTCTGTTAAAAGCCTTTTTGGCTCACTCTCAGTGATGAAAATATAAACAAGAGAAAGCAAGATGTGGGAATGCATTATTTGTTAAAAAGAACTGAACCGACGCGCTTTGTTCCTCTATAGTAGTATTAATACTTCAAGTTGTTGATCTTAAAGGAAATTTCTCCCAGGAGCTTTTAGGTAGAGGCCACGAAGAGCCTTCCTGCGGCTCATGGCAGTCTCGGGTTTCTCCACTGCAGGTTTGTGGGAGGGCAGTGGACAAACACGCAGTTGAGTGCAGTATCAGAAGGATTGGTTTGGCCAAGATTAGAGGTTACTACACCTACATAGAGTTTCTCAGTGGGACTTTGAGGGTGCCTGCACTGGCCAGCCTTTGTTAGTGATGGCTGTGAGGTAGGCGTGGGGAAGGATCAAGACCAAACCCATGTGTGGGGAAGGTGAATACACAGCTGAGGCTTTCCATTTGTTGGGTTGCTTCAGTACCTTATTCCCCTCCAGAAAAACTTGCTCATCTGCGCTCACAAAGACTGGGGGGTTGTGAAAGCCCTTGGGCAGCATACCACAGGTGGCTATGATCACTTCAGCCAGGAAGCACGCAAACCAGGCTGTTCCTGCTATTGCATGACCGCTACATTGCGCCCAGAGAATGTCTCCTCTTGAACCATGCGACTACCAGTTAACCCTCTAGAATTAATTAATTGCAAAAGTATGCCCCTAATTAACTAGAAACATTATCTTCTTGTAGAAGAACGTTTAAAATGAATTGCTTGTGTTTTAAAGGACATTTTTCCTATTAAAATTATTGCATTTTAAGAGCTATATTCCCAGCTTCTAACCAGAAAGTGGGGGAACCTGAGGTCTTACAAAAGAGCCTTGGTAATTTGGTCCCCGAATCTTATCATTGTATATAGTAGGTTCATAAGATAGGAATTTACCAATGTTCGGTTTCTTCTGTGAACTATATTTTGTGCTGCCTTAATGGCCTTTGTGAAAGTCTTTTGCCAGGAACTAACAGGGGACCCTCTGCCTGCGTTCTTGATGCAGTATCAAAAGCATTTTAGTATGAGTATTTGGTGGCAGGTAAGGAGACATCGCAGTCATGGTAGGGAGTCCTGTTGTGGTGGTATGTGTTTCGTATGAAGGCTGTGAGTATCTTTCTGTTTCCCTTGTTACAGAGGCAAAGCAGGAATTAATAACCTATCCTCAGCCTCAGAAGACATCTATACCAGCATTATCAGAAAACCAGCCCCCAAGAACAGGTGATAAGGAAACTGAATCCAAGAAGCGGGAAGAAGGACAAGAGTCACGCTTAGGGCACCAAAAGAGAGAAGCCGAAAGGTATCCTTCTCGAAGAGAAGGGCTTCACTTCCGAAGAGACCGAGAGAAGGAGCCATGGCCTGGGGAGACCCGGCAGGACGGAGAGAGCAAAAGTAAGTGGCTTGTCAGGGCGTGTGCCAGGTGAAGCAGAGATGGCCGGTTGTACCAGCCATGTCCCTACCCCGTAGTAGAACCGTACTCAGACTGACTGCATAGGCCCTTGCTTTCTGTGGGCCTTATACTCGTGGGAAGGGATCTACATCCTTGCCGTAGCAAGCGACTGTAGCACAGTAAGCCATCACTTTAGGTTTCTAAGCCCTGGTGCTGTAAAGGAAAGAATAGAATATTTGGTTTGCATGTTTTGGGACCAGCCATGCTAGCCAGCACAGCGGTAATCATCTGTTGTTAAACATTCAGAAACTCACCCCACCCCACCCACCATTTTGTTTGTTCCTCTGTGTCTGTGCTCGGCTTGTGGTCAGCAATCATGCTGAAGCGCATCTATCGGTCTACCCCGCCCGAGGTGATAGTCGAAGTGCTGGAGCCCTACGTCCACCTCACGACTGCCAATGTCCGCATTATCAAGAACAGAACCGGACCCATGGGCCACACCTACGGCTTCATCGACCTCGACTCCCATGCGGTGAGCGTTCTCTACCAGGGTGCTCTAGTGACCGCTGGCTAGGAGCCTCAGGGACCTGAGGGACTGCTCTAGCACTGGAATCCTCACTACCCGGTAGCATAGGCCCTTTGTGTTCTTGCTCTTGGGTTGAATGTTCACTTGGGTGAGATAACTTCCCGCTCTTGAGTGGATTTCCAGTAGTACCCTTTTTGTCTTGAGTCATTTACAACTGCTACTTCAAATAAAAGGAGAATTCGTTACTTGTAAAGAAACTGAGGGCCAGCCCCATGCTTGTTGTGGCCAGCCTCCATTTGATGCGACGACATAATGACCTTCGGGTGCCACTTCACTAGCTGCTCGTGGCGTGAGCTTTAGCTGTAGGGCCCTTTTCTATGGCAGTGGAGAGAGTAATAGAATTCATGGGAGTTCTTAGATTTCTTGCCAGAAATCACAAACGATTTTGTAACTCTCATCTGATAATCATGAGAATCGCAGCCTAGCTCAAGAGGATGTTAATTTTTCAAATGGGTTCCAGAAACTGAGCTTCTGTCTACTTTTATCAGTTCTTCATTAAGAGTGCCTATTTTTGTCAGCGTGCTTACTAGAACACCGTTGTCATCTCTGCTCGCAGCCTTTTCTCTCTTTGGGTTCAAGTGTCTTTGATTCCTCAGGAAGCACTTCGCGTCGTGAAGATATTGCAGAATCTTGACCCACCGTTCAGCATTGATGGGAAGATGGTCGCTGTGAACCTGGCCACTGGGAAACGGAGGTAAGGGAGGCTCCCGAATGCTGCCCCCACACGAGCTCTGGGGAGAAGCTTCGCTCCTTACTGGGGAAGCAGGAAGGAAGACATCTCTTCAGAGGGAGGTGCTTCAGCTATGTTTCAGTTTTGTTTGCTTGTTTAATTGTGTGAAGACTCTAGGTTTGTTTTGTAAGTAGTAGTAGTAGTAGATACTTCTGTCATATCCTTCTTGACTGCCTTGTATCTTTGGGCCCCATGGGATGATGGCAGTCTTGGATGTCCAGTAAATTCTCAATCACCCTTGCCTTGCTGAGTTCCCACGCCCTGACCGCACTCCTACCCCATAAAACGAGAACATCAAGTTCCTCCGTGCCCCTCCCCCATCTTCTGGGTGTGCAGGGGTTGGGGTTTGGGAAGTAGCCTCAGCAAGAGAGCCCAGCTGGTGTACAGGGGTGGGCACGGCTTCTTCTCCCACCCTCTCCTTAGGGATCCCTGGACCACCAGATCTGTTTAGTGCCTGCTTTGGTTTTTCTCTCTGGAAAATGGAGAAGAGAGTTCTCAGTCACTCTGTAAAGCTAGGGTGATTTTAGTCACACCTTAGGGTGCCTTTTGTTTTTTGTCTTTCACTTGGACCACATTAGGCTGGGCTTTCATTGGGAAATATCCATATGAATTTTGCTTGTTTATGAATTGTTCAAATGTCAATTCATTTACTACATCAATGAGGTAATTGAAGTGCCTTGGGGTAGCAGGCTCACGACGTGTCATTTGTTACAGAAATGATTCTGGGGACCTTTCTGACCACATGCACTACTACCAGGTAAGTTTCCAGAGGCGGAAGGGCTTGTTTAAAATCCTTACAGTGGCTGAAGAAGTGGTCTTGAATTTGCTTGTTACCGTTAATGGCACAGGATAGTTGACTCTGTGGTTGGCGCTGTATTTTTTGCTTTTGATTGTTGGCTTTTGAGTTCCATAAATTTTTTCGCTTGCCTTTCTATGATAGGGTAAAAAATATTTCCGAGATAGGAGGGGCAGTGGCAGAAATTCAGACTGGTCTTCAGATTCACATCGCCCAGGACAGCAGTGTAAGTGACCTTGTTTTATCTCTTTGGGCGAATGTGACTACATTTGTTTGCCAGTAGACACTTCATAGCCATTGATTGCCGTCTCCACAGAGTACCGGGCTCAGACCACTTCTTCCCCATGCTTCCTGTTTCCATGTGTCGTCCTTCTCCGTCCCTTATGCCTGGGCAAACGCGGCTCCTTTGATCTCAAACGGCTCTGAGGGGTGTGTGCCTCCCTGCTGTTGCCGTTCACCCACTAGGTCCATCCGTGGGTTAGTCGAAGATGGCACCACTGAAGTGAGTGGTGCTGTGCTCTTGGACTTGACTGGCTAACTCCAACTTGACTGGCTAACTCCGTCCCTGTGGTCACAGAGGTGACGAGATGCTGTTGACTGAACATACTCATGGAGAGAGTGTACTCTGTCTGACTGCTTTGTTGGCTAACCTCATTCTTAGCTCGTTCCTAGGGAATAGCTCATTCCTAGGGTATCGCCAGTGAGGACCTCATTAGACAGGGACTAATATTACCTCCAATTTCATTTCCTTTAGCATCATCTGATTGCTACATATACGATTCTGCTACTGGTTACTATTATGACCCCTTGGCAGGAACTTACTATGATCCCAATACCCAGGTAAGTTTGGGGCTCTTGTCTACTTTGTCAGTGATCCTCTTTAGAAAAGCATCCATAGTTTGTTCATTCAACGGTCACTCCTCCCTGCCCTGCCCTTCCTAGATTCTCTGGATGCTCGCTGCATCAAAAGTGGCTATTTCACTTTTGTGGAAGGGAGCCGTTCGCCTACTTAGTCTGGTGTTCTTCGAGGGCTGGCTCTTACATTGGGTCTAATTTATTCTGATAGACTTTAACGATGGTGACCTTTTCTTAACTGTAGCCTCTGTGGAGAAGTCAGTGCCTTGTGGCATTGCAAGGTAAGAATACGTTCCGGAATGAGTGTTTAGATCTCTCTCGTCGGCTCTTCTTAGGCTTGTGAGTGAGACAGCTCATCTTTCCCTCCGAAAGTGTTTCCTAGACTTGCACTTCCTAGACATCTGAAGCATTCTGTGGACTTACTCTTTGCTTGTGTGTCACAGCAAGAAGTGTATGTACCCCAGGACCCAGGGTCCCCTGAGGAAGAAGAGATCAAGGAAAAGAAGCCTGCAGGCCAAGGAAAGTCAAGTGGCAAGAAGGAAACTTCTAAAAGAGACAGCAAAGAGAAAAAGGACAAAGGCGTGGCGAAGGTAAAAGGCTGTGTGCACCTGCGCGCGCTCTCCTAGATCTTCACAGGTGCAAATGAAGGCGGTGTGGACAGGGCTGCTCCAGGCGTGAGGCAGACCGTGTCGGACAAGGACTCTGAATACCTGGAGCCACCAGTATTTTTCCAGGCTTCTGTCAGACTCTTGATAGGTTTTACGGTCATGTAAAACCCCCAGTCGAACTGTGCCCTGTTTTCGTCCCTCTCACTGCGTCTCTTTCCTCACTCCGCCGGATGGAGCGCTCAGCCTTGCATTTCTATTTTTCTCTCTGTTTACTTCCTTATGTCAGGGATCAAAGAGGATCAGCATGTCAACATCTTTTTGACAGCTCCGACAGCAGTTATGCAGTAGAGAAAGTGCAGGAGTGTGCTTGTGATTGAGTGCATAACTTAGCTTTCCGATGGCTTCTGCCGTTGTTTATTCAAGGGCCCTCAATGATTGTGGGACAAGTCCACTCTTGTCATTCCATATTCCCACGAACTTTCTGAAGGTCCCTCGTATGTGTTTTCTTCATATGGAGGTAGGGGGAGACTGTGTGTGCGTGTGTGCGTGTGTGTGTGTAAGTGTGTAAACAGAGTATATGGGTGCCTGTGTAATCAATGTGGGTTTTAGGGCCATGGTGACTTAAATGTGTGAGCTCAGTTTCTGCAACTGCATCTCCCTGATCCTGGACCTACTCGTTGGTAAAGTGAGGCTATTGGTGCGTATCTAGACAGGTGATAGACTGAAGAGGAGAGTGCATGTACATACCTCACCTACTGGCCTGTAGTAATCACCTGATGCGCACCAGTGACCCTTTCTAAGGGTTCTTTGTTTCAAAACCATCATAGCAACATTGCAGATAGTCTGTACACCATGAGTATCACATAGCTTACCCCTGATTTTGATCAGTTTCAGGAAAATGCCAGTGAGGAGAAGGCCCCCCTAGAAGACGTCTTTAAGAAGCCCCTGCCTCCCACTGTGAAGAAGGAAGAGAGTCCACCTCCAGTAAGACTTGCCGCAAAAGTGACTCAGGCTGGGGCTGGGTGGTTCCTGGGTGGGAGAGGAAGCTCACAGGCTGCCGCCACATGCCACTGATGGGCCTTTAGTCCTCTGTGCCTAGCCAGCAATATGGAGCCGTGGTGGAGGAGTGGTTATTTGTTGGGCTTCGATCTGAATGGTTGGCTGTTCCAAACCACAAGCAGCTCCACGGGAGGAAGACTGGGCTCTTTACCCCCGTAAACAGTTACAGTCTCATCTGGGCGCTGTGAATCCGCATTGACGCGGTGGCAGTGAGTGAGTGAGTCCCCCCAGCAAGGACTCCTCGAGTGTAAGCACAGGGAAACTGCTGGGTTCTGACTGGCAAATCAGCGGTGGTTCACTGTTGTTCTCTTCACCTGCCCTATCACATTCCCACCGTCTAGGGGACACGTGGCCCTTGTTAAGTTTTATCTTGGTCCTACTAGTCCTTCTCTACGTGACCAAGGAAGCTGCTTTTCCTGTTCCTGGCGGGTCCTGCTTTTTGGTGTCATCTGCCGGCCCCCTGCCCAGAGTGAATGATGTTCCCCATTTTTAGTTGCCTTGGACCAGTGACCACGTATCACTGTGTAACAGATCCTGTGAGCCCCTGATACATGATCTCGGCATACTCCACATTCGAAATTCAACTACTTGTAGCATCTGTCTTAATCTTAGCCTTTAAGGTGGCTTCTGTCACTGAAGTGCTTATTCTTGGCTGGCTTTTGGTCCCCTCCTAAGCTCTCTGCTAGAGAGGTTGCTGGGACCCTCTTGAACTCCTGTATAGTCTCAAACCCTTGGAGAGCAACCGTACCTCTCCTCCGTGGGTCACAGTGACGTGGAGGTGTTTGTTACCTCCTCTTCTGTGTGACGTGACTTTCCCATGCCACGTCCCTTACTCTTCCTTCTTAGCATTCTTTTGCTAGAGTCACTTGGACAGGAGCCTACCCAGCTCATCTCATTGCTCAGGGAATGGTCTGCTTCCCTCTAGGACAGTGGTTCTCAGCCTGTGGGTTGCGACCCTTCCACAGGGGTCGTCCAATTCATAGCAATAGCATAGCAACAGTTAGGAAGTAGCAACAAAAATAATGTTATGGTTGGGGGTCACCACCACATCAGGAACTGTACGAAAGGGTCGTGGCTTGAGGAAGGTTGAGGATCACTGCTCGAGGAAACAGGGCAGTGGGCTCAGCTGGGCCCACTTTGAATCCAGTTCTCATGACTACCTGAAAGAACTGGGCAACAACAGCTGCCCAGTATCAGAGTATTAGAAAACCGACCCCAACAGAAAGCCTGAGTTGGGTATTCATCACTGGCCTCCTCCTTGCAGCCGAAGGTGGTAAACCCCCTCATCGGCCTCCTTGGAGAGTATGGAGGAGACAGTGACTATGAGGAAGAAGAAGAGGAGGAGCAGCAGGCCCCTCCCCCACAGCCTCGCGTAACACAGCCCCAGCAAAGGGAGGAGCTGAACAGAAAGGAGAACGAAGAAGACAAACTCACTGACTGGATCAAACTGGCTTGTCTGCTCTGCAGAAGGCAGTTCCCCAATAAGGAGGTTCTCATCAAACACCAGCAACTCTCAGACCTGCACAAGGTACGAAGGGGCGAGACTTGACCTACGCTTTAGAAATGTCTCTTTGGTGGGTACAGTGGGGAACAAGAAATGGAACGTGCCCTCCCTCAGCCCACCTCAGCCCTGGCTCTGTAATCATTCTTGGGAAGCGTGAGGGACTGTTCCTCCACGGTTTTTTCATGAGTTCATGAGTTTTACCTTCAGGGCATTGCCCACCTCCAGAGAGCTGTGGCTGGGACACCAAGTACGAGGATGTGCGGAGGGCAGGGGAGAAGCTCCTGTGTTCATGGTCTTAGCTTTTTTACCAGTAGTGTGAACAAGCTGATCTCAGATACACCCCATCTCTTTGGTCTTGGCTGCTTCGCGTGGTTCCATCCCACTCCAACAGTGTACAGATTTCCCCCCAGGTGGCTGGAACTCTGTCACCGGGTCGGCCACATCGTGAGTTACAGAAGCCATGGCACTTGTCAAATGACTCTCCTCTGATGTCCTTCCTCTCATAGAAACTAAATAATCGCCAAGGGACAAATGGGGCCCCATGTTTTCCGTGTAATTTGTCTCACACACTTTCTGAAGCAGATAAAGGGATAGCAGGTCATTCAATGTCAGGAAGTAGGAGCCACAGAGCTGATGAACCCACAAGCTGAACTGCTGCCCCAGGACGGTGGGGAGTAGACAGAAGCACAACTCCTTTCTTTGGCGTGATCCAGTGCACAGAGCCGCCTCTGCACTAGCTGCTCTGAATGCCTAATCTGTGTGACAAGCCAGCATTAGCACTTGGACTCCTGTTGGAAGTCCTGACGCAAGACCAGTTAGGGCTTGCTGCTTACAGAGTGCAGGGATGGTTTAGGAAGGTTGGTCAGTGGAAGAAGTTCTGTGCCTAAAGCAGCCAGCGGGAAAAGGTGGACCTCTCTTCTCCTAGACCCGTACTCACAGAACCCCCTCTCTCCTCAGCAAAACCTGGAAATCCACCGGAAGATCAAACAGTCTGAGCAGGAGCTAGCCTACCTGGAGAGGCGAGAAAGAGAGGTAAAGTTTGGCAGCCTCTCACTCCTTTGATCCAGCCCCTTGTGCCTTCGGTCCAGAGCCTGTTGGCCGCGTTGACATGGCTCCTTTACTGGAGAACAGAACAAAGAGGCTCCCGAGGGTGTGCATACATGTGTCAGAGCTCATCAAGCACTACGTTTCATTGTTTGTAAATTATGCCCCAGTAACATTGATGCGTAAGCCATGGCGTTCAGTTCTCCAGGTGGGTCCAAAAGAGCATTGCCTTTTCTAAGGTTTTGACTCAGTTGAGAAATTGACTCCTTAGAATGGCTTGGATTGGTGTGGGGAGGATATTAGATTGTTATAGACTATGGGTTAGAGAGAGTAGTTTAGTGTGAGACCCAAATGAATGGGCTACCTGGACCACCTGTGGAGGCCTCGCACAGCTGGGCCGAGCATGCCCGCTTATTCTTCCCACTTACTGGAATGTAAATAGGGACAAGAGATTCTAGGACTGTCTCCAGGGAAGATCCCTTCTCATTAAAAGAAGTGTCTGGAATGGGAGAAAGCCTCCCGCCCCTGCCCTTTGACATGGAAAGCTCAGGTCTGCTCTTCTGCTTACCAACAGGGCAAGTTTAAAGAAAGAGGGAATGATCGCAGGGAGAAGCTCCAATCTTTGGATTCTCCCGAACGGAAACGGATTAAATACGCCCGGGAAACTGACAGGTAAGCCTCCAGGCCCAATGGTGCAATGGTGTCCTCTCCCAGCTCTGTTTGGGGGTGGGGGGTGGGGTTGTATCAGATGCCAGCTCTACCTGAGCACTATGAGCACAAGTCCCACGCCAGCTTCTGCATTACCTGCCTTACACGGGCGTACGTGTGTCTGCATGGAAGACTGGCTGGCTCCCTCAGCTGCCTGGAGTGGCCGCAGTCAGGAAACCTCTCGCTCGCTCTCCCCAGTGCCTATGGGGCTGATAAGAACGTCACGCTCTTGGGACTTTCCACTCTCACATTCCAGTGCCGAATCTGTGGTTGGTGCTGGTGCGCGTGTGTGATCCGGAGCCTCCTGAGCTTATGTTCCGTCACATTTCCAAGTGGGGAGCGGTGACCCTCACCAGCGTGGGGTAGAGTCTGTAGGTAGCCTGCTATATGTGCTTACAGTGCACTAAGCAAGGAGTGCTCGCTCGGGCAAGGAGAGAGAGCATCCCTGACCAAGAACAGGCTAAAGAAGGCTCAGGTGGTACTGTGTCTCGTCACACAGATATAGGAATCCATTGGGCCCGAAGGGCAGGCATCTCAATGAGCAGGATCCCCGTACACCACGGGTGAGAGCATTTGTGATACTTGGCAGGTTGGCAAGTAGCCTCATTGGGCTGAAGGTGGCGGGTGTGTTGTCACATGACGAGCTGAGCCTGGCCCAGCAGAGAGTGTCGTGCCGAGACCGTCTTAAAGGCAGGGCCATGGAGTGAGAATCGATTTGCATCTTGGGGATGGAGAACAGACTTGTAATGAAATTCACGAGGCAGCCCTGGTTGTGCTCATTCAAGGAAGACATCCTGACTGCCTAAGGGGGGAGTGTGTCAGTGTAGGAAGGGGAATGGCTCGCTCAAATCCACCTGGCTTGCTGACCACTCAGTTGCCTGCATCAAAGGAGAAGCCACTAATGATGGCCAGGTTCCTATCAGGTGACCAGTGGAGGTGGGCCGGCAGTAATGGCCTCGAAAGGAAGAGGAGCAGTGGGCGCTGAGAGAGGGGCCTGAGCCGGCGGTGGAGGTGTGGTGGTGGACAGTGAGAAGGCTTCAGCAAAAGCGTCAGTAGCCGGAGTGGTTTGTACCTGTGGAGAGGGCACTGGCCAAAGGAGCAAGCCCCTGACGAGGCTGGAAAGGGGCTGGAGTTCTTACGTTCCAACTTAAGTGACCACAACCCACAATGAGATATATATGTTTGTGTCATAGCCCATAATCGAAATCAAATGTATGTGTGTGTGTTTGAACAATCTTTATAAAATGATACTTTCCTATTGTGTGCAGCAAACTCTTGTTCCTACTCTATTTTCATTTGTATGAAATGCTAGGGTGGCCTACCAAATCAGTCCTATAGCCCATCAGCCATTCTTTGTCTGGGGAACGAGGATACAACTCAAGAAGGAATGCGCCCTAGGCAAGAGGAAGATGGCTAACGTAACCCTGAGGGCTCACTTGGCGTGAGGGCTAGGCTGGGAGCAGAAAAAGACCTTTTCTATTCCTGGTGTCTATCACAAACCCCTAACAGGTGGCATTCCAAGTATTTCATAGGAGGCCGAGCTCAACCAAGAGCACAGGTTCTCATGGGGCAGCAAGCAGGTCTCATTGAGAGTTATGGTGTCTAAGTATGTCTGCTTCTTTTGCAGTGACCGGAAGCCTGTGGGTAAAGATGGTATCGACAGTAGCAAAGGAGGCTGTGTCCAGCAGGCCACTGGCTGGAAGAAGGGTACGGGCTTGGGATATGGCCAGCCTGGCTTGGCTTCAGCAGAAGAGGTAAAATGGTTTCCATCTTGTTTGGGGTGGCATGAACCTTGAATATTCTTTTAACCTGTCTCATTCTGTGGCCCAGAGCCGTGTCCTTGCCTCCTGGCCATGCTTTCTCTGCTGCTGGTATACAGGCCGTGAGCACTCAGCCTGGTGTGTGTATGTGTGTGTGTGTCTCTGTCTGTCTGTCTTCGTTCCTGGGCTGGAGCTGAGCATGCTGGGACCTGTGTGATTAGTTGGCAGTGGCAAGGGAAAGTTGAAGTGGGACTTTGATTACTCATAAAACAGTGGAATTCAGGAAGGTGGAATAATAGGCTGATTGGGAACTTTTTAAATGTTTATCATTTGGAAGATAAAGACCAGGGAACGAAGGGTGCAAAGACATCTCTGAGACGGTATCAGTAAAGGGCTGTGCTTGCTTAAGATAGCAGCACAAAGCAAACATGGGTCTCCCTGAGAGGCATGGCCCCCTAGAGACAGTGGTGGGCGGTTGGTTGCTCGCCCCCGTGTGTCCGGTGTGGAAGCCTGTGTGCTGCAGTCCTGGTGCCTCCGTCCCCCATGCTCATCTTGGCTGTTGGTGTGATAATAAACAGCCCACATTCTCTGGCATCCAGGCTTTCGTTGGTGTACCCATAAGGACCCACTTCACTATCTGTCTTTGTGTTTCAGACTGAAGGCAAGATGCGGGGCCCCGGTGGGGGAGCCCCCGGAAGAACTAGCAAGAGACAGTCCAACGAGACTTACCGAGACGCCGTGCGAAGAGTCATGTTCGCGCGGTATAAAGAACTTGATTAAAGGACGGAGACAAGTCCCACAGGACACAGCCTCCTCCTTGTGTTGTTTGTCCGTCTCCTTTTGTTTTGTTACTCTTCTTGCTGCTAGAACTTTTTTAAATAAACTGTTTTTCAATGTGATTATTCTTTGTCGTTTACCTCCCCAAGGTGGACGGGAGGTGGCACTGAAGGTGGGCAAGAGAGAAGAGGGATGCCATCCCTGTTGTCACGAGGGCAGTGGGACTAGGGCTACTTCTCCAAATGCCTGCTGGCTGCTGCCCCTTGCCCCCCACAGTGTGAGCACCCGGACAGGTCCGCGCAGCAGTGACTGCTGGGCCCTTCTAGCTACTCCCCACCTCCGCCTCCTGCCACCGCCAAGACTCTAAAGAGATTTCCGCACTCCCGTCATTCACACCAGTTCACAGAATTTGCTCCAGAAGTGGGGGGGTTGGCTTTGTTTGTCTTTGCAATGACATGGAGCCGATGCCGGCTCACAGGGCCCCTAGGACAGGGTGCAAGTGCCCCGCGAGCTTCCAAGACTGACCATCTTTACCGTCTTCCTCCCTCCCAGCAGCCGGTGGTTTTGAACTGGTAGGTTTCTTGGGGTGGTTTACCCTGGTTCGTGCTTCTCCACACTGAATGAATTTGCATGTCAGAGCACTTTTGTAATCCACGTGACTTTTATGAGGGAAAGAGGCGTTTCAGGGAATACCATCTCAGATAGCGCACGCTGCCCCTGGAGCACAAGTGTTCGAGACTGAAACAATTGCTTCCTGGGAGCGAGAAAGACCACCTGGAGAGGGGACTAAGGAACGGAAAGGGATGCGGGAACCAAAGGAGAGCGAGCCTGCGCTGTTTCTGCACGGTGGGTCGAGGCTATTGGCCGTGCTTGGTGGCTGAGTGGAAGTGCACACATGACGTGACACGGGGTTGCCTGTCTGCTTTGTGCTCGTCGCCAAGGTGACCGTCCTCTGCACCCGCGCATTGGGCTCTTCCCCATTGGTGCCTCACGCCTGCCTGGCTTGTCTCAAACCCCTCTCGTGGCACGGCCAGCTAATTTTCGTGTAGCGCGGGCATTGGGTGGAGACAACCCCTTTTGTCATCCCTAACCTTCCTTTCGGATCTCAGCCTGATGAGCAGCCAGTACACTACCAGGCTCCTTAAAACTTAGATCATATGACTCTGCACATATTGCAAGAAAAAATGTTTCTTCAGAAGAGAACTGTTAGGAAAACTCTTTGTAAACTTCTCTGTAAAGCATCAGTTCTCAACCTGTGTGCTGCAGTCCTGGTGCCTCCGTCCCCCATGCTCATCTTGGCTGTTGGTGTGATAATAAACAGCCCACATTCTCTGGCATCCAGGCTTT